GATTGGTTGGATTGGCTTAAAGTACGTGTGGATGTTCGATTGGATTGATTGATGGTACGTGTGGATGTTTGGTTGGATTGGTTGGGTGCGAGTGTGGATGGCGCTCGAATGATTGTGTTATATTATCGAGATATTATTTCATTATCATGATTTGACTAATGTGCAGTGTGGGCATGTGATTGGATGGCGAGGTAAGTCCATTGATGTGAATTATATATATGTTATCGGTTAGATTGCATGTTAAAACTTGTCTGGGTACGCATTGGCCTACATGGGGTTTAGGGTCTTGCTTATTGAGACTCGTTCTCACGGTTATTATATAACCATTTTCAGATCCGCGACCATGATCGATTCGGAGATGCCGCCGGAGTACCACATGGATTGATCAAATTACCCTGTCTTTTGAATACCTTTTTGTAAAGGAGATAAGCTTGTCAACCACCGCCCCCTTTTGAAAATTGTGGTTTGAAATTGGTAGCCTTGGTTATCGTTTTGTAATAGTGACTGCTTTATGATGTTATGCAATTATTGTTTCGTGCTATCCTTTGGTCATCATGTTAGTTGTCTGGGTTGTTTTATTTCGCTTCCGCTTGTGTATATTGGTGGGTGATTCGTTTGGGGTCGGCGACGCGTCCTGGGACGTCGCGATCAATACGACCTTCGGAGGGGATGTCGCGAGCCCGTCGGGGTTCGGGGCGTGACACTAACTTACCACCCTATTCTGTTGGTAACTAGGCTAAGATGGTAAAACAATTTCATTCTCGGTTTTATAGACTGATACCTGATGTATCGTTTGTTGATTTAGCTAAACTTTACCAATTCAATAATGAGTCAGTTGTGCAATTTATTTCTCAATTCAAGAAGGCCAGATATAGATGCCTTACTTCACTCTCAAAAAAGAGTTCACAAATTTGGTTTTCAATGGATTGAAATTCAATTATAGTGAAAAATTCAAAAGGCAAGACTTTGTGGATTTATTTTAATAGGCAACGAGAATGTCAAAACATGAGCAATTGCTAAAAGAAAGAAAGAAAAAGCCACATGAATACTTTACACCAAACGTGACTTTAATGGACAATTATGAGTCAGAGTATGAATCTAACCTAGATGAAATTGTTGATATAGCTGTGGCAAAAATGGTCCGGACAAGCCTTACGTTTGTCGATCCTTAAAGCCTGCACAAAAAAAAAAAAAAAGAAACAACAATGGCTAGGGTTAAAGACACTCATGCTTACTCGTTTGATATTAACAATCAGACGAAATCGTTGACTTAATTTTGAAAGATGGCTTAATTCAATTAACTAAAGGCCAAGTAATTCCAAGTAAAGAAGATTTAGTAAACAAAAAATATTGCAAGTTACACCATGGAGCCATGAAACTGTTAATGTGTTGTTTTGAAGAAAACCATTGAGGAGGCCATTCAACAGGGAAAAAATAAATTTTCCAAATGATTGATTGCTCTTGATAATTAATTAAAAAGAATCAAATTATTGATGAATCATTCAATTCTTTTAAAACGGAGCATTTGTTGACACACCCAAAAATAATGAACCTTTGGTTATTATCGATAAGTGATAGACTTCATCGATGAGAATAGAGTTTGGTGAAACCAAAAAGTCATAAATAAATAGCACAATTGCCAACACACATCGTGAAAGTTATTGACGAGAGACTTCATCAAGACTTAGGAAGTTGATCAACAAAGTTATTGAAAGTGAGCAATCAACACTAAAACATAACTATTGAACGGTTATGTTAATTACCGCTATTTTAGGATTTTTATAACTTATTGTAGAAAAGTATTGATAGATAATATGAGACCGTGCAACTTCTTGTATCGCCAATAGGATCGGGAACTTATTTCTTTATTCAAATTATAGTAACCTTTGTATCTAACCGTCTGTAGAGGGTTATAAGTACCGCAAGTGCACTAATTGTAAAGGGACCCCCTACTCAATCAAAGAATTCAACGTCGTTTTGCAATTTATCTTTAGTTTCCTACATTTTACATCATTGGCCACGATTGTTCCTAGTTATGTGCTTTTAAATTTATTTAATTTACTTTCATGTCCGAAATCAACAAAGGACCATTACAACTTTTGTCAATTCATATCGATCCATCCATATTTCTTGAAGGATATATCATCATTTTTGGTGACACGAGATTATTATAATGTTTTAATCGATTAACCTCTAATGGGAGATGCTAGAGGAATTGCAATTACCGTTAATGTTATTCATTTGGTTCGTTATTTTTCCTTGGTTTTGGCCCGTGCGTCACTGGATCTATATTCATTTGGTATGGTTATTGACAAGATATGTGATACATTTTTTTTTTGACGTATGTGATACTCATTTTGGTATGGTTATTGATAAGAGATCAAACAACTTCGTGGACTATATTCTATATCTTTAGGGTGAGTTCATTGTTTATATGCCATCCTTACACTTATTCTAGATATAACAAAGGATTCTGGCCACATTATTGACAAACTTATTGTCAACGTAATGTAGCTTATTACAAAAAGAAAAAGAGAGTTAGTCAAATAGTTGTTTGACTAGATAGGTCGATTGCGAGTTATAAAATGCCACACTAATCTCGCCGGTGCGAAGCATTTTCTGCAACACTTTTTTTTTTGGTTTAACTGCCTTTCCCATTCATTAATTCGCACATTTGTGTAAAGCATGCAATTCTTAGACATCTCCTCAACTTAAAGGACACTAATCCAGTATGAAGATTTTGCGTAGCAGACTTTGCGTGCTCTTTCTATTTTTTTTATTTATTGGCCAATAAACTTTTGCATGCTTTAATAAAAAGATGAAAAAGGGAGAAAAAAAGTGAGTGCTTACTTCTCATTAAAACTTAAAGTCGAGAAAAGGAAAATATAAACCCTAGCTGTCAACTGGGACTGGAAATCCTTTACCTTATTCGGAAAGAAGACCGATTGCATCTTGTCGCGACCTTCTCAGATCTAAACCACCAAAAAGAAGCTAATGGATTATTAAGCCAAAAACTTAGTGTGGACTCTCCCAAGTTCGTACCAATCGAAACTTTGGGATTTGACTTAATCAATTCAACATGCAATGCGATTCAATTAGGAGTCGTCACTGATCTATTATGGGTCAAATAGAAACCTAAGTAAAGTGTGGAAGAACACTTTACTTTTGCTAACCAGAGATTTATGGATACGAGGACTTGTTATGATAGATAAATCTAATGCCCTTTTGATACATTTCCTCTTTATTTTTCAATAATATTTAGCAGGTAGTCTTGGATGAATTTAATCCTCCACTAACATGCAATGGATGATCATTTTGGTGCACAATCAATAATGTAACACTTAATAAATCGAAACTTAAATAAATTGCTAGAAATAGGGCAAACCTCAATGCATTAAGCAAAGCATAGCTTCACTATGATTAATTTCCCAATATCTATGAGACGTTAATTAAAAAATGCATGCCCTAAACATAATGATTGTTTCTTTTTGGGTTTTTCTTGTTTAACAAAAGATTAAACTATGTGCAATGCATGAGATGCAATTTAATTCTAGGTTTGTCCACGTGGATTCTAATTTGACTAATGGCATGTGATATGAATTATCTAGATGCAATTTAATGTAACCTAAGACGAGCAAAAGAATTGAGAATTAATCTAATATGATTAAATTATGATGACATGGCAATGTGACGACATGGCAATGATGTCATGGCAACGATGACATGGAATTAGGAAACTAATTCGATCTATGAGATATGCATGAGATATTGTTGTGATTTTCTTTTAAGGCTAAAATAGAAAACTACCTAAATATGTTAGGGAAAATTCCAAACAAGTGCTTGAAGTGCTCTCATTTTCTCAAATAAAGGCCTGAAGTGGCTATATCAGCCTCAAAGAAGAGCTTGACCTTGTCGGCCGAAGGACATTTTCGTCCTTTGCTTTTTTGAATTTTTTCTTTCTTTTTTCCTTTTTATGCCTTTTCTTTTTCTCTCTTCCCTCCGTCAGCCATCAGGGCCTTGCCAATGGACGGCGGAGGTTGCCGAACTCAGGCGGGGGCTGCCCTTGCCGGCATCGGGCGAGGGTCGTCTTGGGCTGGGCGGGCAAGGGTGGCCCTCGCCGGTGTCAAGCACCTCAATCTGGCGAGGAACGCCCTCACTCGATGCCAGCGAGAGCGGCCCTCCCCTAAGGTCGGCAACCTCCGCTAGCCATTGACGAGGCACGGCAATGACCGGGTGAGGGAAGAGGAAAAAAGAAAAAAGAAACAAAAAAAGAAAATGAAAGTAAATTTTTTTTTAATAATATACTTAGAATTTTTTGACTAAAATACTTCTTCTCTAACGGCCATAATAGTCACATGTTGGCCGGTTGGCCAAAATTCCTTATTTGAGATTATTTGGCCACTTCCGGCCCTTATTTGAGAAACTAATATGAATGCAATATATTCTAAACACTATTAATGCAAATGCTTCTAAATGCAAGTCAAATATATTTTTTTTAGAGATTATGGTTGATCCCTAATTTTTCTATGCAATGACTAACTAAATGGGTCGTTAAAATTTAGGTATCAATACATTCACATGAGCATGTTCCCTCCCATTAAGTGTTTGATCTTGGAGTGAAGGGCTCTTCTAGAGATACCAAATCAAGTTCTCCATTCAACGATAGAGAGAACGCAAGATCGTGCATACGAAAAATCAAAACCGTACGATTGTCTAGCGACCAAACTGTCAATAACAATTGGAAATGGTTTAGGATTCGATTGCCTAATATAAAACGCTTAGGACTGATGATCAACGTCTCGGTTTTTTATTGCACTTGCCCTGATTTTGTAAAAGGATTATTCTTCTTAGTTTTTTTCCTGATGCACAGGGCAATCTAAAAGTAGCACTTCGATGAACGCACACTCATCTTTTGCGCTATTTCACTAGTTGGGTCTCGTGACCCACCATTTTGGCTAACAACCTCTACACTGCAATGTGGAACTCCAACTACCATTTTCCTAACAAGATACATCAACTACTCTGAGCTCACCTAGGTAGCTAACCCCGCGCACTGGCCCTTCTGGCTCAAGTGGCGCGAGGGTAATTTGGATAGCCTGAGTAGGAGATGACGGTGACGGTTCTGCAGTGCTCGCCCGAGCGCTACCACAATCCACGGTCTTCTGGCACGTCTCGATCAGGCAGTGCCTGCAGGTCGGGCACGAGGAGTGCGAGTTGAGCCACTTGTCGATGCACTGGACGTGGAACCTGTGGTGGCACTTCGGCAGGATCCGGACCCGGTCGTTGGTGGCGAATTCGGAGAGGCAGATTATGCACTCCGCGACCAACCCAGGCAACTTCAATTCCGTTGAGTAGTTCACGATCGGGAAGGTCTTCAAGGTCTTTATCTTCACCCCGGTGTTGGCTAGCCTAGCTGATGAATTATGGCCATTCGTGTCCGAGGACACCAAACTGGGGCACCTTAGTGCACACCTAATGATGGAATTTAACCCTAGAGAGCAAATTACGGCACACAATAGGACTGAGAGGACCATCACAACATTGGAGTCAAAGCTGTTGTTACCAGGATAGTAAGGTTCTTCATGGGTGCTCCTAACACATGATGGTGGAGTTGCCATGTTTGGTGTTTGGCGAAGAGGGCCATGTAGGAGCAGTCTTCTTGAGAAGTACAAGTTTTGAAAGAGAGAATCATAGGAAGAGGAAGCAGGAGGAGTCATTTCTTTTTGTGAAAAAGGAGAAAAGAGAGAGTGTGGACTGAGAGAGAGATTGGAATTTCGGTGCAAGAATGGAGTATATATAAGGGGAAAGTCCCAAGGGGGTTTGAAATTTGCCTTTTGGTAGCCATATTGTGTTAGGACAAATATCTAGTTTCTACATCGAGCAGAGTCGGAGATTCATAATAGAAAGTGCAAAGCTTGTATCCTTATCTACTTCGAAAAAGAGAGATCTCTTCATGTGAATCCAAACACGGCGCATGACATCCTAATATCATGTCATCGACCCAATCTTAGATCTAATTTTGATCAATATTGTATCATTTATTGCCATCACTTGTTCCGGAGCTTTAGCAAATGCTAGCTAATACTAAATGGATTGGTCGATGTGGCTAGATACCATAAGAGTTACATAGAATTTTTCTCCTAGTTTGCATTAGTTTTCTTGATAATTTTGGGGTCTTCTTTCTGATTAATTAAGCAAATGACTATCCCCAAATATTTGGAAACCCAACTCGAAATCCTCTCCGGTTACCAATTGCATGTGATAATAGTCCACTTGCATACTTAATTGAAATATTCACATCACTTCACAATGGGTTTATATGCTTTTTATATACATGTGATCTCTCTCCACCTATCAATTTAAACTTTTTGGTTGAATTTTCTAACATGGTATCAAAGCCGGATTTTGCCTTTTTTGCTCATGCGTCCACCACTTTTAGTCAAATTCCACGTGCCACTCATGATCCGGCTTGCACGTGAAAGGAGGCGTTGAAATTACTTGACGTCACTTGACAATGGAGTTTATATACTCTTTATATACTCCCTCCACTCAAGCTCTATGTCAAGCTTGGATTTTTAAAATCGATTACCAAAGCGCCTATACATGAAATGAGTTAAGTGAACTCCTACGTTACTCGGACTTCTCAAACTAGACTCAAACAAAAATACAAACAATCGAGCTGAGATCAGGTAATCCACAAGTGTTGTTTACATGTAACTTAGGGCGTTTTTGTTTAACTGAAAATATTATAATAAAGGAAATATTTTTTGTGAAAATTCATTTCCAAGGACAATGGTTAGTTTTCATTTATTTGGTGGTGTAGGGAAAGTGATTTTCTTCTTGCAAGAAGGAGAAGCTCGTTTCCTCCAATCTAAGCTGCTTGTTTTCAATCCATGGAAAACGTTTTCTATATATTGATTATTTTTCTATTATCCAAATATCAAAAAGTCAGAAAACAAATTTCTGGAAACAATCTTCCTTCAAACAAATTGACCCTTGGACTTCTTCTCGCATCTCTACATAAGTTTTCTTACTTCGATTTATTGAACCATTTGGACCCAAAGGTCAAGCAACCTAGGTCAGTACAACGTTGTAGTTCGATTCTTCTTCTTTTTGGGTTTGGGGGGGGGAGGACTACGCTGAATGAGAAACTCACGAAAGCAAAAGCAAATGACTCTAAAAAGTGGTTGAAGATAACTAATTCTAATTTAGAAAGGCAGTCTGTTCAATGTCCTCATCAGGCCCTCAGTTGAAAGCCACGACCTGCTTCACTTTACATTAAGTTCCAAGTCTCTAGCTAGCCTATAGCGGCCTGCATCGCTTCTTCCATCATGCTCGTAGTTGTCTCATTAATTTACATCACATCTAATATGAACTCCAGTTCATTAGATTTGTTCGTACGATGTAAAATCCGGCATTCGAACCAAGCAAATCGTTCGCGATTAGATCCGATAATCCGATGGTCCCCCTCTTTCTCTTTGTTTTGTTAGGAAACTCTTGACCAACCATCATAAATTAATCCAATCCCTACACAACTTGCTTGATTTTCAATCTGAGATTCATAAAAGATAGCACCTGTTGTACCTTTGTGCGTCTCTCATTCGCAGGCACAAAATCTCTTGGATTATTATGAGAGAAAAAGAGAAATCTTGGTTAGCAATAATCAAAGTCAAGTTGTAGTTATTAAAGGGTTGATTTGACTTGATTTGTGCTTTCTTGCCGCTAATCCCTTCATTTAGAATCCTCCATGCAAGCACAAAATGGTTAATTAAAACAAGAATTAAAGTGGCGGAAATAAATATGATTGATTATGAGAAAAAGTTGCTGAGTACAGTCAGTACACCAAATGGGGGATACTTGTTTGATAAAAATAATGAAACTTTTTATTTTTATTTTAAGGTGATCAAAGATAGGCTAAGCTTAAAGGCATGCTGTTTTTATTAATTTAAGAAAATGAAATGGTTAATTTGGTATCTACTACAGAAGTAGCACTACTTGGATGCATATCGAGTTGTGGGCTGGAATTCACTAAGGAAGAATCCGTCTTGCTGCTAACGAGGGGACCACAAGATGGAGAGAGACCGATCCATTTGGTTGGAGATTTTGTTAAATCTAACGTGAAGCACGTGTTGTTGCTTAACTGGGTCAGCTTTTTGTGCACTTGTTGATTAGTCACGAGGAAGATTATGATCCTGATTCGATGGGATTTTGATCTGGGAAAGTGACACCCTCTAATAAGGAGAAACTCACCTAATGAAAGGGAATGAAAGTTGAGAGAGCCATGGGAAGTCTCTGGTGACACGCTTGGGCTAGGGTTTCTCTGCTTAGCCTAATGCATTCTGCTTCAAAAGACTTGTAGAAATAGGAGACATTGATTTGGCTTAGAACACTGTTTTTTTCCTGTTAAGTGTTTCCATGGGCAAATTGCATATGCTTATAAGAAATTTAATGAATAAGTGCATTGAAAATCCTAAAACTTGTTATGAAAGTGTAATTGAGTCTCATAACTTTTAAAAAGTGCAATTGAGTACTATAACTTTTAAATAGTGCAATTGAGTTCTAAAACTTTCAAAATATACAATTAAGTCCTAAAACTTATTAAATTAATCCAACAAGTCCTTCCGTTGGTTGCACTTTTGAAAGTTTTAAGACTCGATTGTATTTTCATGATAATTTTTAGGAGTTGATTGTATTTTTAAAAAGTTTTAGAACTCAATTGTACTTTCATGACAAGTTTTAAGACTTTTAGTACACTTATTCCGAAATTCAATGGAATTCGAAAGCAGTAAAAATATAATTTTAACACACTTTAAATTATTAGTTTGGCTGGTTATTTCCTAGGTTTTGATACATGCAATGGGTCTAGACCTTGGTACATCGAATATGACCACCACCATACATATTTAAAATTTGGTCATTTCTCTTTACATTTACTCTCTTATTAAGCTCAAGGCAACAATTGCGGAGTTACCTTACCCAAAAAAAAACAATTGCGGAGTTGGTAAGCAAAAACTAGCTTTATTATAATAAGTGTACGTGTGGGCAATGCTTGCTTCTAAAGCACATCGTTAGCACACCCTTACTACACAAAGGTCCCTTTAGATATTGAATCTCATAGGCTTATGCATACACTATATTTACGATTAAATAACCTAGTTGTCTCGATATATTTACGATGACACAAGATCCATCGCTGCTTTCACTACCAATGAGCATACAATGGAGTAGCTTAATTTGAAGAGTTGAATGAGTGTATAAGTGTTTAATTTGGATGGAGTAGATCGTATATGTTCAAATCAAAAGTATCTCCAGCTCAAAGCAATCTCGCGGGTCATGCCCGCCGTCCTGTGATTAATCAAGTCGACGAAGCATATGATCCTCATTCTCATATAGTTATTGATGAGCTATCAAACATACTTCGCGGATTATATTTTATATTGTTAGGATGAGTACATTGATTATATGCCACCCTTACACTTGTTCTACCTATTCCAAAGGATTCTGGGCACATCATTGAACCTTTTGTCAACGTAATTAAGCTTATTAAAAAAAGGATAAATGCATTTGAAACCCTAAAACTTGTCATGAAAACATAATCGAGTCATAAAATTTTCAAAAAGTGCAATTAAGTCTTAAAATTTATCACGAAAGTGCAATTGAGTCCTAAAGCTTTCAAAAAGTGCAATTAAGTCCTAAATTTTATCAAATTGATCCAATCAAGTCCTTCTATGAATTGTTTTTTTGAAAATTTAGGACTTGATTGCATTTTTTAAAATTTTAAGATTCGATTGCATTTTCATTACAAGTTTTACGATTTGCAATGCACTTATCCCTTAAAAAAAAACAGAGAGTCAGTCTAGCATATATTTGACTAGATAGGTAAATTTCGAGTTATAAATACCTCACTAATCTCTCGGGTGTTAAAGCATCTTCAGCAACAACTTTTTTTTTTGGGTGGTTTAACTGCCTTTCCCATTCACCCATTCACATATTCATGGAAAGCATGCAATTATTAGACATCTCCTCAACTTAAAGGACATTAATCCTATGTGAAGATTTTGCGTAGCGGACTTTACATGCAGCTTTTATTATTTATTTATTTATTGGCCAATAGACTTTGGCATTCTTTAAGTAAAAAGGTGCAAAAAGGAAAAGAAAGTGAGTGCTTACTTGTCATCAATACTTAAAAGTAGAGAAAAAGGATAATAAATAACCCTAGCTGTCAACTAGGACAGAAATCACGAATTCTTTTAAATTCTTTATCTTATTTGGAAAGAAGACCCGGCTCATCCGCATGATGACGGATGAGCATCGATCCACGGTCAACCCTAAACCGATCTTGGATCGGCTCAATCTGGTTGGTCCTGGTCTAGTTCCCAGGAGGACTGAGTTGGTCCTTGGTCCTAGGACCCCTGGACTTGTACTGTGTGGGTTGATTCTCGGTCTTGAGACTTTAGGGTTGGTCCAACCCGGACCAACCCATTATAAATTATATATATTATTATATAGGGTTAATACTGTTTGGAATATTAAGACCTCCACAAATAATACTTAATCTTGGATCGGGTTTAGTTTATCGGGTTTAAACTTGAGACATATTTTAACAATCTCCACATTGGCTCGATGTTTGAGTCAAGTCACAATCGTTTCGTTCAAACTTCGTTATTACTCTCCCACAGCCCCAATGGGCTCAACCGTCACAGACGTCTTCCAAGTT